TGGATGTTTTTCCAGCACATTACTCCTTTGCTACAATGATCTACAATAGTACAGGGACTGATAAGGAAAATTAGTGGGTATGTTGATGCTGCTTTCTCCTGGAACATATCCAGATAATTAGTGGTTGTTGTTTTTTAAAGGAACTAGCCATCTTCACACAAATCTCTTGGAAGTTGTCTTCAAAACAATTTTCCAAAAGTAGGTGTGACTTCTGATCTGCTTCCAAGTGGGGAAAAAACCAGACTGGGAATTAGGAAATCTAATTTTTCTTTATGCGTCCCGATTTTAAATGAAATCACTACAGCCATGTAATTTATTTCTACTTCAACCATATGAAAATTCAATACACCAAATACTTAATAAAATGAATTAATTCTACATAAAATAATGCCAATTATGCATTCGTGTTTCAAAACATATTCCTTATTATATATGTGCTAAATATGAATTATAGCTAAACAGAGAATTTTTAAATATAACCCGGCTGTATCCAATATCAATTCAAGACAGGCTCTAAAGCCTTATATAAACAGAGAATAAGTTCTTCATTAAATATTCTGCTTTCATAGTGGCAGTTATGAATGCAACTCACACAATCCACATTTAATTCTAATTGCCTAAACTGATGATACTTGTTGGCAAAATAGAATAACAAATCATATCCTTTTGCCATTCACTGTTATTCATTAAGCAATGACACCTCATTTATTTATAATTATGTCATGATTTGAAACACCACATCTAATTAGATACAAATAAATACATAACTCATGAAACAACAGGTTGTTAAGTATAAATAATTTAAAGTCCTATTCTTGGTCATGAAGAAAACAATTTTAATTAACAAATAGTGGTAACGTATATTATGCCTCACAATTCAACTTACAGGTGTAAAAGTAATCTGAATGCCAGTACTATTTCTACAAAGGAGAGTCAAAGGTCACAAAATGAGAAGTGGTACTTCTTAAAGAGGAACAAGCAGATTACCATCTGTAACACCAAGTCATTTCCCCTTTCTTAAGTTTAATTTTAGAGTAGGGGATACTTCATGACTATCAACTAAATTTCATGTGCAGGACCTAATGTATAAAATAAGCTATTCATGGGAACAGAACAATGCATATGTCCCTATGGATTTTCAAATGGTAACAAAATGTAAAAAATACAAGGCTTTTATAAATTGCTAGCTAAAATACAGCCCAATTCAAAGAAAGGATGTAATCACATTTTCCCCTAAATATGGCTTTTAACATATGATAATCACATTTAAATTTAATTTCCTAGGAAAGGATCAAGGGAAATCTTATTAAGGTATTATCTGGGACTGAAAGGCTAAAATGCCATAAACGTGCCAATTCTCCATATTTATTTCAAATGTGGTTTTTTTCAATGAATACAATCCATGAAATGCCACCCATTAGGTAAGTATCCCTAACTGATAAATGCTGAGCTAATTGTACACGTATTCCAGATTTCAACTGGACTCCCAACAGTGAGAATTCAAAGAGATTTAATAACTAAAAGGAATACCCCAAGATGCATGAGCTTTAGTGTACAAAGACATCGACAAACACAAATAGCAAGATTCTGACTGTATTATAGGAGAAATTTCTCCACCCATGACTACTTTCCTGCCTTACGTATTCTGGATAAAGCACGATGTTCTAGACAGTATCAGATTCTCACCATAGTAGTATAATAAAGCAGAAGGGGTTATTACTGAAAAGAATATTATTCACTGGTGTGTTGAATAAATTAAAATTATTTTGTTTAACTTCACATTTTTAAATTAAAAAATTAAATTTAAAATTTGTAAGGTTTGAATCTCTTTACCTACCTTGGGGCCTACTGATTACTGGCATCTCTATGTTCTACTACTTCACCCCGCCACCCCACCCCAAATAGTTTGTATAAAATAATTTTGATAACATTGGTTACAGCTTGATTTTAGTCCAGTTACATTCCTTGGAATGTTATTGAGTTTTATTTCCTATATACTTTCTGTTTCCTGCAGGAAGACACAACAGTAACAATATAAACCAGAATTATATAATGTATGAAGCAAAGACAACAAATCTGTATCCAAATAATTTATGAGAAGAAGGTTAATGAATAATATAAGTTAGAAACATTGCTCAAAGAACTACTTAATTTTACTTCAGTGCTTGATAATGGCAAATAACAAACAAGCTCCCTGAAAAAAATTGGAAATCCACATATAGATTCTATATTAATAATAAAATGGATGTTTGTCAAATATAAATGAATGATGCAGGCTGTGAAATTACTTTTTTGCCATAAATCCTAAATATTGGGAAAAAAGTGTACCATTGGTATTATGAGTGTATATTTAATAAAAGGGAAGTCTTATAACTCAAATTAGAGGAAGGTGATCTATCTTTCACAAAGTTGTTATGTGAATTATTCATTGAGCTTAACAATCATCTTCCATAAATTTCTGATCACTGTTATCAATGGACATTATCACATGAATGAAGAAAACATTTAGTAAGTAAAACTTCATGTATTTTTCCAGACAGTTTAAAGGCAAGTCATTGAGACAGTCATTATTTAAGCAGAAATTAGGCGGCAAAATGTCTATACATATATGCGGTGAAGTTTTTTTGTGACCATCTTCAGATTTTCATTTGTTTTCTCTTTTTTGTCTGTTTAAGATTAATGAGTGACATTTTGTGAGCATTTTAAAACTTCTCTTTATCAAATTCTGTAATTTAAATCAATGCAACATGCAAACCTTATTTTATTAAAACCGATGTTTATTTAATGATATCCATTTTATTTATGCTCTTTTTTATTAAGATTATTTTAATTGTTGATTGGAAATTTCCAAAGTTCGATATAAAATGGCTGGCTATATAAACGTTTTACATACACAGACATTCACACAGCATATTTATACATACATATATTTCCAAAGGATTGTCTGTGCTTCAGAAATCAAAAAATATATGTTTAGCAAGTTTTCAAACACTGAAGTGATTTAAAGCAAAGATATCAAGAGAATTCAGAATTTTGTCAGTAATAACATACATTTTATACTAAATTTCTTGCAATGAAAAAGACAAGTATTCCCAATTAAATAGCCAAAATAAATAAAAAAAAAAAAATAAAGCAGGAGAACTGGATGGATTTTTCAACAAGAGGTTAATTTTTTAACTATATACAAATACTAATATTTCATAAAAACTGGCTACTCTACCAATATTAAATACCAAAGGATAGCACAAAGGATTGTTGCTGTCCCTCCACCAATTAAATAAATAAAACAACACATCCCTAATTCAAACTCAGGTTTTCAGCAGGTGGCAGCACTTATCTGGCCTTGTCTCGACTCAGAAGCTTAGTAAGGTCAGGCCTAGTTTTCCACTCAAAGGGAGACCGTCAAGGTACCAGAAGGAACCAAAGGAAAGCACTTCCATATTACTGCCATGTAACTGCATGGTTATATCTATGTTGCCACCAACAGTTGAGCTCAAATAAAAAAATTCTTGACTTTTTCTTACAGTAAATAGCAACATGTTATTGTTTCCAAAACTAATTCCCACTTACTCCTTTCTTCTATCAGATTCAATGACAGAAGAAAGGGAATGGACATGATTTTCATATAAAGGAAAGTAGAATAAATTCATAATAAACACTTTCAGATGTTAATAGGGTACCAGTTTAAATGTGACCAATAAAAATACAGTTTACAAGCTAATATTGTTGTTAGTCGCGAAGTTGTGTCCGACCCATTGCGACCCCATGGACAATGTTCCTCCAGGCCTTCCTGTCCTCTACCATCCTCCAGAGTCGATTTAAGCTCACACCGACTGCTTTAGTGTCTTCATCCAGCCACCTCATTCTCTGTCATCCCTTTATTCTTTTGTCCTCAATTGTTCCCAGCATTAAGATAATATTACACACATCTAACATCAGCACCTTTAGGTAACTACAATATCCATCATGTCTCTTACCTTGATATGGTCTAATTTCATTTACTCCTTGCTCTACTTGAAACAGCAAATGTTTTAAAAAGCAAAAAAGTTTTGAGAACATTTGTTGGCATGCATAATAAAGTTTCGTATATTCAATATAACTGTTTGAGATCCTAATTCAACATATCATAAAAGGGAAAATTTGTCCCTGACATCTTAAAACCTCTAATTTATGCCAATTATTTGTAGTACCTTTCATCATCAAACACTTTTGATTCATTAAAAATAATTAAGAACATATTAGCATCAAGCGCAAACAATATTTGCTCAAATAGCCCATCTATAGAAAGCACTTGTTTTTCTTTTCAATGCATTATTCCTTTTATTAAAAGATTTTCTGAATTAAAATGCTGAACAAGCCTTTCACAAAATAGCCTTAATTTATAACTTAGGTTTGTGACAATTCGACCTACTGCAAATAAATTATTTGAGAATACCAAGCCTCTAACTTAAACTACAGATGTGTAAACAGAGGTATGAAGTTGGTAATATGGTGTCTTCACAATAGGATGTTCTCCTAGCTATTGTGCTGCACTTTCATGCCTTTCACTATGTTGGGCAATTATGCTCTCTCCTAAGTCAACTATAAACTGCCTCCAGTATTGTGTCAAACCTGTTAGCCATCCTTTGCTAAGGTTTTAGGTTTTAGTATACAAAACATCAGGTCCTACAGAATCATTACATCCCATCTGTTCAACATAAAAAGCAGCATAGCTTTTCATCTCTGCTCTTTAGGACCATAAGAAGCCAAATCTTCTTTTATGGTTTAATTAACAATACCCTTAAACCAGTGGGTGACAAATTTATGTTTGCTGGCTGTGCACTTTAGCCAGAAGGCAGAAGGGGGGGGACAGGAGGAATGATGAGGGTGACCCAGAGGGAAAAAAACCCACAAAAATAAAAGCATTGCAATGCATGCACAAACAAACATGCATGGCTGTGCGTGTGCATGCACGCGCACACACGTTCGCACCCCCAGAGACAAGGAGAAAGTCAACTTACAGAATCTCCAAGTCACGGAGGGCTCGGAAAGCTCCATCTTCAATGCAGCTGATCTGATTGTTGTCCAGTTGCCTGCAGGAAGGAAGGGAAAGGATGAAGGCTTGCCTGGTAGCCACGCTGCCTTGGAGCACCATGTCCTCAGCTTCCCTGTCACCAAGGTGTCCCTCCACCCCTCTGCAGTCTTTGCTTGTCACCGGGCGAAAGCTTGCTGGTAGCCTGCCACGCTGCTCTGTCTCTTCTCACTGACTCTCTAAAAGAGCTGCATACTACAGCACACTGAAGCCTGTCAGGTCTCAGTAAATATTAATTGTGCTTTTCCCCCCCTCTAAGGCAGAAGGGAATAATTTCATTACATTAGGACATCCAATCCATTATGAGCTTTTACCGTCATGTCACTGAAACAATTTCATTAAGCTAAAGGCCTGTAAATCATTGGAGGTCACTGTGCTGCCCCTGTGACCTCCCAGAATGCTGCTTTTCTCCTTTTACTGGAAATTGTAGTTCTCCATCCTAAGAGTACTAAATCTCAAGCCTTTATCTGCCCAGGAGGTCCCAGGGTGCACAGGGAATATACCCATTCCAAATTAGCCTCGGCTAATCTAATTGTATAGTCTTTTTATTATTACAAGCATCAAATGTCTGTGGTGGTTCGATGCTCGCTTGCATTGTTGCTGGTCCCATCTGGAAGGCCTCACTATTGACACATTTCTAACCAGCATGAGCAGGAGAAATCTAATCATCAAATCAAATGTCAGGGTAGGCACACTTGGAGCTAATCAGTTACTTTGGGCATAACGGAGTAGACCTGTTCAAATATAAGCAAGACCAAATAAGGGAAGACAGGAAAACACACAAACCACTCATTTCAGAATCAGACCAGGGTTTGTTTGTTTTTGTACACCAAAGAACGCAGCGATTGGCCCTAGATTTAGATCATACCCAGCCATTTCTGATCAGAGATGTGCATTGCCCGTTGAAGAATAATTCATTATTATACTGACTTTTCATGAATTGCTTTGGGACATATTTAACTGTAAAAGTAATCTTATTGAGAAATAGTATATTTTTTAAACACTGCATTTTATTTCTATAACTGTTTATTGCTTTCATTTGCTTATGCCTATTTTCTTGTATGATTTGTGGAATCAAAACCCAATCCCTCCCGCCCCCCACCCCGGCAAAATAAATACATAAATGCATTCCCAGTTGCACACTTCAGATACTGCTGAAGTTAAAAGTGCTAAATATGCTGTTTTTATAATCAGACATGCAATAAAATGTTGTAGTGTAGAGTGTGGTTGTTAAAGATTGTGCCAATTATGTAATTTCTCTACGCATAGTTTTGACGGTTTCTGCATGGATGCTGTTATTTTGACTATATAAGAATCGATGCATGGCGAATGACTTCCACTCTTAGTATACTGTATATGACTGCATTGCCACTGAAATACTTTGAACTCATTGGAGTTAAAAAGCTTGAATATGTGTATGAAATAAACATAATTAAATCTTAGTACCCAAATTAACTATTTTGGATAAAATAAGGTTCTAATAATGTAAATTAGATCATAGATGATGCAGGCTGAAAAACCTAGAGTTAATTAGTAAACAGTTTCAGATTTATATCAGAATACACTGAGTTTGCAAAATAATACAATATGCTTAAACTTCATTCAAATTAAATCATACTGTTTTTGAAATACACAGGTGCAACTGAGGGCTCTTAATTGGTTGTGAGTTAAAGACAAGCAAAAATAACTAAGAACACCTTAAAGTGACCTTTTATATGTCCTTAGGAATTTTAACAAAATCAAACCACTGTTGAAGGGACAATATCAGGGAATCAGGTAGTTATAGAGAAAAATTTAGACAGCTTTTAAAATGTCCAAATTTCACTGCTAGCAGTGGAATTGTTAACACATATTTCAAATCCTGGTCAAATTATTATTTCCATTTTTCCCACATTTGGTGGTAAAGTTTTTGGGAATATACTATTGCGAATTAAATGAAAATAATATGGCTCAGTGATATCTGTTAATTAAATAACCTTCCATAGCCAGAAATCTTCATTTTTAAAGTTATATTTATAATGCAGTTTTAATCTTGCCATTGCTTGGAGCCCACTATTCACATGTATTGAAGTTTGCCGATAGCACTTCTCAGCCTTGTGAAGCTAAACACCGATTTCACAATCCTCCTCAATAAAGGCAAATTAGCAATATACCTGGGAGAGTGTGAGAGCTCCTGAAATACAAAAGCAAAACCTTGGCACTTTAGTGCTACTTGCACGTGAGCTGCTTTTATTTTCCAGGTTGTTTTTGTTGTTTCCTTGATAAGCAATTGCTGCTCAGTGCTCATACATTTAATAATACAGGCATTCTTTATACTTACAACATTAGATCAATATGTAATGCAGCAGAAGTAGAATGTATATTTTAGCATGAGAGAATGCCATAAGTTACAAGCATAGTGATTCAACTGGATAAAGCAGAAATTTACACATGCCATTTTGCTACTTTATGTGAGGGCACTGGACTGTATTGTGGGAGTATTATTTTTAAAATAACCAGCTTATTCACAATATAGTTACACAAGAAAATATGAATGTACAGCAACATACCCAGATCTATACAGATACTGAATCTGCCATGTACCCTTCCACAACAACTACATCCAGATAATTATTTCTGAAGACAGACAAAATGCTCAAAATAATATATTCACTCAACAATGTGCATCAGAGGAAAAATATTTATAGGAAGCATGATTTTATAATATTGGAGAATATGTAACTGACAACAATATTCTTTATTACAGGAAATAAAGCCATGGACAGGCCTCAATTTCCCCCCTCAGTTTATTTTTAAAGGCTGAAGACTAAGAGGCTAACAAGATGATCTTGACTTTTGACTTAACATATATAAGGATATTTAGTTGAACCTTACGAAAACAAAAGTTCAACTCACCCAGCTGAATGTATAGATGAAGCTTGAACTGGAGGATCAATAATACAGTATTCTCCCAGGAGAATACTTAATGAAATTTAAGGCAGGCAAGTTTAGAAACAGCGTATTTGAAGCAAAAACCTATCCATATACCAGATGCTCTAAGATTATTTAAAAAGAATACATGTGTGATGCCATACAGAGTTAAGTTTTTTACTTTAGAATTAAGTACAGTTCTTTAAGGATCTTTGTGTCACTTTGGAATCAGTTCTGAAGCTATCCTTTTTTGAGATGACAGAAGAGAAAAGAATTGCATCATTTTCTTTTTAGTGTGTCTTTAAGAGACCAAAAAAAATAATCTTTTTTTTTTTGAAGCACAGTACAGTTTTTTTGGCATTTTGTTTCCCTACTGGGGGAAGACTTGCTTCAATTTCCTGTAATAACCTATTGCTTGTTTCACCCAACATCCTAATATATCTGCATTGTGTTCTGGATATTGAGATTAGTTGCCATAATCCATTTTCTAAAAGACTAGGGAGTAGAGATTGAAATCCCTGCCACGCAGGGAAAATGTGAAAGGGCAGTTTGCTCAAGGACTGGAAACTCTGTGTTCAGCTCTTTTTCAACACAAAGGGCATGAACAACAGAGGGAAAGCATTTTCTGTATGCCCTGCCTCTAAACAGAACATGTAGGTTGGTTACATTTTTCATCCAGTTCTTTTTAGCTGTTTTTCATAAGAGCAGCTTCATACTATGAAAAAGAAAATGCTGGACTAAGTGGATCCTTGCTCTGATGCAGCAGATATATTTCATTATTCTTCAATGATAGTTAGCTTGAAGCTGAATCACAAATAGCTGGAGATGCTCTAAGTATTTTCTCCTTTGCTTTATTCCATGAATGTCAAACTCGTGGCATCATGTTGTGGTCACATGACTTTTCACGATGTTTTTTCCCTTTGTGGAGCTGGGTGGACATGGCCTGTGTGTGATGCATCCAGCCCACGGGTCTCCAGTTTGACACCCCTGTAGTTTATTCTGTTCTCATTGAGTCATCCAGGATTCATCATCCTGGAGTAGTTAAACAGTGATGTAATCAGAGAATAGGTTTCAAAATGGAATAGTATCTGTAGGAGGTCAGAATAATGGCACAAGATTGGGATAGAAGAGTGAAGAGGGAAATTCTTTCAAATCTATTTCATTCTGTCCTTATTTTCCTTTCCAGCTTTCCTAGTGCAGAGGAAACAGGTGGTAACAGAGAGAATGATAGAATTGGATAGAAAGAGAAAGAGCTGTCCTTTAGTTATTAAAAAAAATGCTTTCCAGGAAGATAATGGTCTTTTCCTGGTCTTTTGAGGTAAAGATGAGAAATTAAGAAAGCTGATACCAGTCAATGGATGGATTCATGCCCCAAGCTTTAGCAGGGTAACCATGGCATCCTGTTTTAATCTTTGAAATTGGAAAGAAAAATATCCATATTTCCATGACTTGAGGAAAAAAGGTAATCCTCGATTACCATCTATCCATTAATTCAGCAACTGTTTGAAATTATTATCTTTATGATCACATTATTGCAAGTCAGGTGCTTGTCAATCAGCACTGATTTACAACTGCAGCATCCCACAGTGATGTGACCATCATTTGATCATTGATCTTCTCAGTCAACAAGCAAAATCAATTGGAAAGTTAGCAGAAGTTACAAGTTGTGGTCACATGATGTCATCCTTAACCTGCAATGATTTGTTTACTTATTGAAGCTGGAATGGATAAACTGATAAACTGTTGTAAGTAAGATGTGGTCACATGATCCCCCCCCCTTGCAACTACATCACTGAGCAATGGAGTCACTGGTCCAATTGTGGGTAGTAAATGAAGACTACCTGTATTACATCATTTTCCAATGCAGCATGTATAATCTGTCAGCAATGATCCACTACAGTCATCAGACTATATGCAAAAGAATCCATAGCTATAAATCTGATACTTCAAGTAGTAATTTCCAATAAAGGTGGGGGCATTTTAATTCCTCCATATTATCTGTCACTGATCTCAAGGTGGTCATTGCTGGAAAAAAAGTGATTGACTTGTTTAAGATTCACTAAAACATTTAATAACATTTATGAGAAATTA